CGGTGCAGGGAGGAGCTGCAGAGCCTCCTGGGGGATGGCGCCTCCCTCAGCTGGTGAGTGCTCCGGGGGTGGCCGGCCCTGCCCACGGAGGAGAGAAGGCCCCAGGGCCGGGCTCTGTCCAAATCTGGGGATGCTTCTCTTTCAGGGGCCACCTGGACAAGATGCCCTACACCACCATGTGCATCAAGGAGTCGCTGAGACTCTACCCGCCGGTGCCCGGTATTGGCAGGGAGCTCAGCAAGCCCATCACCTTCCCTGATGGACGCTCCTTACCTGGGGGTAACATGGCCACTTCCCTCCCTCAGCAAGTGTGAATATTCTATGTCTACCTTCCCTAGGTCTTCGGTCCCCTTGGAGAATTAATAGGCTTTGTAGTGAAGATGAGATATACAAAGTGTTTGGTACAATGCTGGAACCCCAAATAAACAAAACCTAGCCCCCAAGTATGACCTCAGAATTTAGCTCTAACTTTCTAATTCCCTGTGTGTTAGGACTAGGGAGAGAATCAGAGAGGGCAGCGGGGTGCTGTGGTTCTTTCCTTCTGAGTTACACACATGTTAGGGAGGTGGAAAAACAAAGCCGTAAGTCTCCATGACCAAATGATTCCTGACGTGATTACAGGCTCCTTTAGGTGTGAATCCCACACTTGCTGCTTCCTAACTGAGGCCTAGCAGCGAGTGGCACATCCTCTCTGAGGCTGCAGGCTTCTTCTGAACAAGGAAATGCGAATACCTTTCTTAAGGTTTCTGTGAGCATTGAGTGTGTTGCTGTGATTTTCCAAGTGCTCATGGATGCAGCTGATAAATGTGAGTCATTACTTGAGTTGCTCAAAGATGTGTACGTCTACTTCTCTGAGCGTTCCCTCCTGGGCCACTCGCTCTCCCTATTGCACACGGCTGAGCCGTGTCCAACACCCGTCTTGGCACAGGATCGTTTCACACCCATCATGGCCGTCCAGGCCCCAGGGCTTTGTTCAGGCAGGTGCCCCTCTGGGTGGGGGACCGGGGCACCCCAGGGGTCTCACACTTCTCTTCTCCCTGCCCTACAGGAATCACCGTATTCCTCTCCATTTATGGGCTGCACCACAACCCCAACGTGTGGCCAAACCCTGAGGTAGGTCAGCCACAGCGTGTGGGGGCCTCTCCTGTCCACAGCCTCTCAGGCTGCCCCCCTCCCGAGGCCACTCTCACCCCCGGGAAGAAGGGGCTGCCCTCCCTGGCCTGACCCTGTTACTCTCCCTGCAGGTGTTTGACCCGTCCCGGTTTGCTCCTGGAGCTACTCGGCACAGCCACGCTTTCCTGCCCTTCTCAGGAGGGTCCAGGTGGGCAGCCTGTGCTTGGGGGAGGGAGAGGGTGTGGCTGGGAGCACAACCTGATGGATGTGACCTACACACTCGCCTGTGGTCTGCCATCATTCCCTTGTATGCTGGTTGTATGTTAGTGTGCAGGGCATGGTTCGTGTGCGTCTGTGAACAAAAGCAAAGTAGCATTTTGGGGCCACACCACAGAGACCTGGACCCACTGATTTTGCCCAATGGCCTGCATAATTCCGTTCCATTCTAACCTGCTGTTTTAAAGGTCATAGGTATTCTGGCATTTTCTTCACTTTAAGAATGACTTTTCAGAATTTTAATTTCTCATGAGAATTCAACTTTAGATATTTGTGTTTCCTCAAGAAATAGTAACCTCAGAGGCAGTGTTCCCCTTACTCAGTACCTCAGTTTAGCCCACTGTCTTTCCTCCTTAATTCACCATTTAGTCACTCACTTACCTGGTGGTTGTTGGGCTTCCAGCTTCCCTCCTTGTCCATACTGTTCAGGCTTTCCACATGAATGATTGCTGTGTTGGTTCCAAAGAACTTTACCCATAGGAAAAACAACACTTATTCTGGGAACTTATCCTAACAAAATTTTGATTGTATATTAATGTGCATAGAACCATGACAACTTTTCCAGTTGATGAAATCCTTGATGTGAAGTGGGCTTTTTTGCTATGGTGCAGAATCTACATAGTTCACACTGGCAAAAGATTACAGATTACAAATGACAACAATCAATCACTATGAAAGAAAATCCACTCCTTTTCATGGGTCACATACACTTCAAAGGCTCCCGGTGTGTAAAATTTAAGGAACACTGGTGGTGACAGCTGAGCTGTATGCTGCACACTGCAGCAGCTCTGCAAAACCCCCAGTGCACGCCGCGGGCGGTGAATGGTAAATCCCGTGAACCTTTCTGTGTAGCTGATAGAAACACGACTCCCAGAATTCTTTGTTTCATGTATTGCAATTGGTACATCAGCATTTTTTCTTTTTTAAAGTGATCCCATCCTTCCTTTTTTTTAAAGATTTATTTATTTATGCATACAGAACTGAGGTACAGTACAGAGATGTGGAGGGTTCACCAGAGACAGAGTGGGGAGCAGATCCACGAAGTACACTGCTGAGGGGAGCAGAGGGTGGGTCAGGAGAGGTCTGCCACGCCATGTGGATCACCTCCCGGGCCCTGGATGGAACTCGCACTGAAGTGGCTGTGGCTCGCTTTCAGTGCTGCATTTTAACCTGCTGCACCACCAGGGAGGGCCCTGGTACATCAGCTTTTACAGAATTGGCTTTAAGCAAATTGTTCTTCCAGAACTGGCTGTTAGCATTGGGGTTTTCTGAGAATGGACAGCTTTTTACACATCACCTGCAAGTCACATGGCTACTAGCAGGGGTCTCAGTTGCTAGGTTGGAACGCTTATTTTGTTTCAACTCAATTATCTTATTCAGACATAAAAATATTTTTAAGCCTCTCTCTGTGTGCCACGTCATGTGCTGGGGAAGGTAACTCAGTTATGAGTGATACTGTCTTGCCTCCAAGAGTTCATCGTCAAGAAACAAATACCTTGGCCCAAGACAGACATCATTCATCTCTACTCTCTCACCCATTTCCTCACCCACCCACTCACCCACTCACTCTCTCAATTACTCACCCATTCACTCTCTCACTAGATTTAGTCTGTGTTCCTAGCAGTGTCCTGGCCACAGACCTATGCCGTGTCCTTAAAACATGGATGATGGCTTCCAGGTTATGAGGGAGAAGAGTTGGTGTGGCAGAGGTAAGCACAGTGGTCACTGTGCTTAGCCTTGAGCATGTGGAAGGACGATATTTTCAATGATCTCAGCATGAGCTGAGCTAGGAAGAGCCGACAGAGGTGAGCTAGGTGACACCCACGGAGGGATGGATGCCAGCTGAGGCCTTGGGACATGTCCTACCTGTGATGGAGGCCATAGGTGGGTCTGAGCTGGGCCCTACCCTCAGTTCAGAGGGATGGGGGGCAGGAAGAGAGAAATGTCCAGGTGAGGAGGCAGGGATGGTCAGGATGGACAGTTCAGGAGTAAAGTTGAAGGCTACAGAAACTGGTTGAGTGAAGGGGCAGGGGAGCCAGGAGTCTGGAACATGAGGTGAAGACAGTAGACCCAAGAGGCCATTGGTTCCTGAAGCCCTTGACGCCTGAGAAGTTCCTGTTTCCTCAGCAAATCACTCACTGGCCCCTGCCCTCCCACTATGGTCAGGCTGTCTGTGTGCCCTAGAGGGCTCAGGCCTGAGAAGGGCACTCCTATGCGCTGATCTGGACTCACTGTGAAAGAGAAAGAGCTTGTGGAGGAGGGAGCAACTAACCCTCCCCTGTTTTAGTGAGTCACTCGATTTCACTGAGTGGTTTGGGACACCGACCTCCACTAACAGCTTCTGAATGCTGAGAGCAGACGTAGGAGGTAGGAATTAGCCTTGGAGGAAAGGTAGGCTCTGTCGAAGACTGGGGAGACCCGACCCCCTTCCAGTAGAGTGGAGTGTGACCCTAGGCAGGGATTGAAAGGGACCCGCGTGGAGGAGGAGCCTGAGTACCTGGTGCTTGACCAGGGCTCAGCAGCCAATGCCTCCATCTCACTGGCCTTGTGACCTCTTCATGCATTTTCCTCGCCCAGGAACTGCATCGGGAAGCAGTTTGCCATGAACGAGATGAAGGTGGCCGTGGCCCTGACTCTGCTCCGCTTTGAGCTGGCGCCAGAGCCATCCCAGATCCCTGTTCCCTCTGTGAAAGTTGTGTTGAGGTCCAAGAATGGGATCCACCTGCATCTCAGGAAGCTCCAGTAACCCTTGAGGGGACAAGGATGGACTCTTGTCCAAGGAGGACCTCCTGTCTGCTATCCTGTCTTCCTGTCACCTGCTCCTGTCCCCTGCTTCACTGCCCACTTCCTGTTTTGATGGCCCCACCTGCCAGCCTACCTGATGCCTGTCCCTCAGCTGGTGCCTCAGTTTCTCCAGACTGCCCACCTGTCTACGTACAGATGGGACTGCCCATCCTTCCACCTACCGTCTGACTGTCCACCTAATTCCTGGTTGCTCCCTCCATCCAATCTATCTGCCCTCTCCTGCATATTTTTCTGTCTGCCTATCCTGTCCTTATTAGTTTCCTCTTCTGCTTTCACAGTTTACCATAAACTTAATGATTTGCAGCAACATAAAGTTATAATCTTGCTTAGCAGAAATCTGAAATCGGGACCCTCCCTGATGACACAAGGTGTTAAGTCTCAGCACTATGAAACTATCCACAGCCACTGCAACATGAGTTCAATCCCTGGCCAGGAAGCTGACCCACATGGTGCAGCAGACCTCTCTTGTCTCACTCACTGATCCCCTCAGGAGTGTATTTCAGTCAGTTTACCTGCTCCGCTCCCCACTCTGTCTCTGGTGAATTTGCTCACTCTCCCTCACCTCTGGCCTGTACCCCAACTCTTGTATACATAAATATATACATAAAATAAAAAAAACCAATCTGAAATCGGGTTGCAAAGGGGGAATCTTTTTTCTTGCCTCTTTCTGCTTCAAGAACTTTGCTCTTTAAGCACTTCAGCAATTGGATTGGGCCTGACAGACTTTCACAGAAATCTCCTTTCCCTAAGTTCACCTGATTTTAGATGTCACCCACTTCTCCAAATACAGCAATATCCACTCTGATATTTAACTGAAGGACTGATTTCACACCCTACCAAAGGTGTCTTAGAGACTAGATTTCACGGTCTATCCTTTCCACCTGTTGCCATACACATTTTCTTCATCTGCAAATAAAGACTGCAGTTGGTCATACTTCTGCCAAGTGTGCATGGTCAGTGCAATCCTATTTTCCTTTGGAACTGAGCTGGTACCATCCTAGGACATTTGTACATCTCTTTTGCCTAGACTTGTGTCCTATTTAATACGGGCAATAGTCACCACTGCCTTTCCAATGACTCATGTTAAGGAACAAATATCAAACCCAGAGCCAATTTAGAAAACTCATCTATGCTATTCTGACCCTCTAGACCCTCTTGATAACCAAATCTGTATTGCACTAGAGAAGAACCAGCGAAATGTATGACCATTCCTGCGGAAAGCTGACCAAGATGACCCAGTAGGAAGGTGCCTAAGCTCCACTTACCAGGCCAGGTGAAATCTCAGCTGCCTTTCCCATAGCCCCTTTCCCCCCAACTCAGAAGCTGAGTTTAGGATGCGCACATGGGGGCCAGGCAATCCTCCTGATGGGATGACTTACTGTGAAGGGACAGCACAATAAGGATCCTGGTTACCCCGCACCAAAAATCTGGGATGACAAGGTCAAGGAAACAGTCCATTGGAGGAGGAATGCTAACCTGGGACTTCAAGTCAAAGAGATGATCAGGTGAACAGGAACTGAGAGGTTCCTAGAGGACGTAGATAAATAGGATGAGGACCTAGGACTCCAAAGGGTACAGTCTCAGGAGTCCTCTCTCCGACTGTGTCTTTGCTCCTAGGAAGTTTCAACCCAGAGCTCTCGCCAGCTTTGGCATGGTCAGGCTCACAGATGTGCAGGAAGCTAAAGAAATGTCCAAACTATTCTATCCGATTGGTTTGTGCTTCTGTCTGGTTATTATTACGGTGTAGTATAGTTTGAAGTTAGAGAGTGGGGTTCTTCCACTTATCTTCTTTTCTCTCAGGATTGCTTTGGCTATTTGGGGTTTTTGTGCTTCCATACATATCTTAAAATTGTTCACCCTATTTCCTCGAAAAATGTTATTGGCATTTTGATAGGTGTTGCATTGAATCTGTAAGTTGCTTTAGTTAACTTACTAATCCATTAAACCATGAAATCCACCCATTTCTTTGCGTTGATTTATTTCTTTTATGAGTGATTTATAGTTTTCACTTGATCTTAGCCAAAAGGCCAAGACAGTTTACCTCCTTTGTTAAACATATTACCAAATATTGCAGACTTTTGGTGCAATTGTAAATAACTGATTTCTTCATATTTCTCTATTTTTTTATATCAAGAAATGAAACATTTTGTGTATAGATGTTGCATTCTGTGACTTTATTGAGATTCTGTATGGAAATAAGCCACTCCATAGAAGAAAAAGGAGACCAGTCAGCACTTTCAGAGCTGGTCCTGCATTACCATCACCTGAAACTGTGCAATTGTATCTTTTCATGCTTTATATTTTTGATGTCTCATTGTGCACCTTTATTTTTTACAATTCCCTTCACTAGCTGCTTTAGTTTTAGTTAATTTTACTGTTTTCATCTTGTAATCTCCACTCTGCTTTGTGGATGACCAATCCACTCTGTGTACTACAAGTATATCTTAAGATATTTTAAATTTTTATTATTTTTTAAATCATATATATATATTTACACCAGTCTTCATTTTGTGCCTTTTTCCATCTCAGTTGTAATCCCCATGGGCTTCTCACCACCAAATCACCCTGTGCCATCACCACAGTCCAGTGCACTCTTCCCACCCCAGTTCTGATCCCATTCCCCCTCAACCCCCATAAAATATCTCTGGTTTATAGTTGTTCATTGTTTTCATTTTTACTCTATTACATTTGTTCATCTCTTTTTTCCCCCATCACTTATATTAAATATTTTTAAAGGAAGTACCATTGTTTTATACCTGGGTTAGATTTTGACAATACTGGCCTTCTCCCCTCAGGTGGTCACCATAGCTCTCCTCCCACCAAAGCACCCACAATGCTCCCCCATAGTCCACTGCACTCTCTTCATCCCCTGTGCTGACCCTGCCCCCTCTTGCTTTTCCTCCCTCTCTTTTCATGGATGCCTCCTATCTCTGGTCAGTTCTAAAGGATTGATTTTTAAAATAAATATATCTTCAAAGGCCCATTGTCAGAACGTTTTGTCTAGTGACATGCATCCTTGTTGTATAAACAGGAGATGAAATTATAAGAATATAATTATAAGAATGTTGTGTCAACAGACTACTTGTCCAAGAAGGGTCAGAGAGATGACAAATGAAGGAAGGTGGTTGTATCCCAAGCTGCCATTCTTTTTTTTTTGGAATAATATAATAGTTTATTTTTACATCATTTTATGCATTTATCCATCTCAGTTACAATCCCCTTGGGCTTCCCATCACCAAATCACCATGTGCCATCACCAAAGTCCAGTGAATTTCCCTCCCCCCACTGTTTTTGATCCCATCCCCCACTCCACTCCATAAAATGTCTCTGGTATATAGCTGTTCATTATTATTGTTATTTTCTCGCCTGGTCCGTTATATTCCTGCTATGAGTGAAACCATCCGGTATTTTTCCTTTTCTTTCTGACTTATTTCCCTAAGCATGATCTTTTCCAGCTCCATCCATGTTGCTGCAAAAGACATGTTTTTTTTTTTTCTTGGTTGCTGAGTAATAGTCCATTGTGTATATGTACCACATCTTTTTAATCCAGTCATCCGCTTTTGGGCATTTGGGCTGTTTCCATGTCTTTCCAATTATAAAAAAGGCAGCAATAAACACAGGGGTGCAGGTGTCTTTTTGAATCAATGTTTTTGTGTCTTTTGGGTAGATACCTAGGAGTGGGATTGCTGGGTCATAGGGAAGCTCCATGTTAACAAACTGCCATTCTTTAAGAGGAAGGAAGAATGAATTCAAGGGAAAAATCTCAGTCTCAGAGAGTGAGTGTTCCACAGGTCAGAGACTCAGCAATAAAGGAGTATTAACAGCTTTTGAAATCCACTGGATTATCCATTGAGCCCTGATTGAAAAATCTTTGAATCCAGTTAACAGGAAGCTAGTGGAAGGCTTGACACACATATGGATGGAGGCCTGAAGAAGACAGAGGAGCGGCAGAGTTGAAGATGCTGACTTTGATGAAAGTAGCTGGCTGACTATAAACCAAAAATTTCCAGCAGCCATCAGAAAGCCAGAGAGAGAGGGCAATGAGATCACCTAGAGTGCCCAGAGAGAGGAGGGCCATGCTAATACCTTGATTTTGGCCCAGTGATACTGACTACAAACTCTGACCTTCAGAACTATGAAGAATTTTAAATCATCAAATGTCTGATTGTAGCACTTGCCCACAAATAAACAACGGATCAAATTTTTTTCTCTGAGTAGTTCACAGAAGTAATCACTCTTTCACTTAAAGGCATATCTTTTGAATTTCTATTTTAATGCTACAGGGAGAAAACAAATGAATAAATATGACAAAGGATATAGCAAAAGAATGAATGGTAGACTTAGGCCATCCAAGGAAGAAAAAAATAACAAATAGAGGCCTTGTGAATGATTCGATCATCAGTTGCCCAAATGCTAGAAAAAGGAATCAGAGCAGGGAATAACAGGACGTAACGACTGAAGGAGTAAGGGATGGAGCCCCATTTACCTTCCAGTCAACACTGGATGCTCTCCCTATGGTCATCTCCAAGGCTAATTCACGAGTAAAGCTTAAATGTATTCCCGAAACAAGCCTGGAAATGCAGCCTGCCAAGTGATCCTATTTGTTGCTCACCTGTTGCCTCACCCATCTGGCCTCTTTCTTCAGCACCCTCCTGCTTTGCCCTGCCTCATGATTTATGATTCATTACACAACCCACAGGACCAGAGTTCTGTTTCCTCTCCTAAATACCAGGTTCCCGTCCAAGCCCAAGGGGAGGGGTGTGTAAATGCTTAATCCATTTCTTCTACTTTTTCCCCCAGTTTGGTAGTTAATTTTCATCTCCCTCAAACACCTGCCCAGGGACTCTTGGACCCTGGCTCTTAACACACTTGGACCAGCACCAGCTTTTCACCCAGAGTACAGAGGCAGTAAAAGAAAGAGAACTGAATTCACAGAGTGTGGGCTTGAATTTTGGTTGTAAATCTCCCTCCTGCTCTAAAACCTCATTTTCCTCTACCTACACATATGGGTGCATAATGATTGCTATTAGCTAATGCTTATTAGGCATTGAACAAAAATTTCATGTTTTTTTTTTCTCACAACAGTTTTACAAAACAGATTTTTTACAAATCCTGCTTGGTGCTATTGACCACCAAGACAAAAAGGTGATTATTAGGCTGAGCCTCCAGTCGATATATGGTGACCCCCCCAGCATTTAAGGGGGACCATTTCACATTCAATCTAAGTAATCCACTGTTTTCAAGTAGCAGGAGTGTCTTTTAGGTTATCAGCTCCCCATGTTGAGGTAAATGTGAGCCGCATTCTCCAGGGCAGCTTCTATAAGAAGCTTCTATAACAAGGTGTCAGGTAAACCATTTGCCTATCATTCATTACAAATGATGTCTAAGGATGTGAGTCTGTTAGAATTAAAGAGCTGCCACAGCAGGAGTATAAAGGACCAGGGGAGATGACTATAATAATAATAACAACAACAATAATAATAATGAACAACTATATACCAGAGACATTTTATGGGGGTGGAATGGGGAATGGGATCAAAAAATGGGGAGGGGGAAGTGCACTGGACTATGGTGATGGCACCCAGGTGATTTGGTGATGGGAAGCCCATGGGATTACAACTGAGCTAGGAAAAGGCACCAAATGTTGTAAAAATAAACATATTATTATATTTAAAAAAAAGAAGAAGAATTAAAGAGCTGCTTCAGCCGCCACTCTGGCTATGCAGTTCAGGCTTCTCAGTCCTGAGTCCATCTGGTCCAATCAATCAATGATCTCTTGACCCTGTAGAGATGCCTCTTAAGTTAAACAAAAGCAGGATGCTTAATCCCTTGGACATCACATTCCTGGGTTAGTGGAGGAGCTCCAAGTTGCTGTTTATAATTGTTCTGAGGGGGTGTAAGATTGTTATCCATGTTTCTGTGAGAGAAAGGAAAGACTCAACAGAAAACATCACAGATTCTGGGTCTGTGGGCCTTTTACCACAGGTTGATGGGAACGAAAATTAGATAGGGAAGACATAAGTAAAAATATCTTCTTATCACTTTGTTGCAGACTCTTGGTCTGTGAAGCCTTTGACCAGGCTTGAGGGGACATCCGATTCCTTTTTCCAGGCTTGAGAAGTGGGATGCAGGGTCCCTGTTGTGGTGCGATATGTTGCATTAGGCAACAACATGCTGTCGAAGAAGTGAGAGTCGTGGAGCCAACTGTTCTGGCAGGATGCTGCCGAGAAGACAAAATCTGGCCTTTTTATTTAGTGAGAGGTTTGACAGAGTCAACGACTCAGGGCAGGAGGACAAAGAAAATAAAGGAAGAAGGAATGTACATTTAGGAGTCTGTGAATCTGAATTAGATTTAAATCCTAGTTTTATGGCTCAGTGTTTTAAGATCAAGTCAAGCTTTTGACCCTCACTGCTGGTACCTGTCTTGTTAACAAGGCATTCAACCGATGGGTCTCAAGAACACAGAGTTATATACCAAGCATTCCTGGTCATGCCTCTGTGATGTATACTCATTGTCCAGGGGATTAAACATCTTGCTCTTGTTTAATTTAAGAGGCACCTCTACACGGTCAATAGGTGACTGACTGAGCCAAATGGACTTAGGACCGCGAAGGCTGGACTGCATAGCCAGAGTGATGGCTGAAGCAGCTCTTTAATTCTAGCAGACCCACATATGAAGAATTTCTAATAATATGAGAAATCATACAATGAAGTGACCAAAGCAACAAAGAACTGAATAAGGGTGAGTTCAATGCTATAACAATTGTGCTTGCAATGGTCAACATTTGTTGTCAGCAAGATCTTTCCTTGTATTAGGTGTACACACATACCCCAAACAAGCATCCTTGAAGTTCATAATGAGGACTCCCTGTCCATACACCTCCCATGGGACACACAGTGCTTACTGTGCCCAGCAAATCCTTGCTGATCTCATGAATGAATGAATGGATCAATGAGAAGAAACCAAAAAGGTAAAAAACCTTACATCACCATCTTTAATGGGCCAGATTCAATTCTGAGTGTCATTTTTTTTTTAAGATTGATTTATTTCCTCATACAGAACTGGGGTACAGGTCAGAGATGAGGAGGGTGAGAGGATTCACCAGAGACAGAGTGGGGAGCAGAACAGGCAGATCGACGAAGTACACTGCTGAGGGGAGCAGTGGGCTG